GATAAAGTTAAAATAGCAGTCATGTTTTAAATATAACTGGTAAAGAATTAATACCTAGCACATGGGTACTCTCATTATTGTAAGTGTTCTATGAGTAGTGATTACTCAGCAGGAAACCTTTCAGTGTGTTGCATATGCCTTTTATATCTAGTACTCCCACGCTTTGGTCATCTGTTCCAGTAAAAAGAGTATTCACTGTTGTATATTAGAAACTATATACAGGAATCAGATTAGCAATCTTTTGATACTGGGTTTTTTTCCTAACCACTCTACTTCTAGGATACCATGTGTGCTCTGATGTGGCCTGGTGTGGTGCTGCAAGATAAGCACTGGGCTGATAACTTCAAGGTGAGCAGTTCAAACCCACTAGTGGCTCTCAGAAACCCTATCCAGGGTCACTATGAGTCATAGCTGACTTGACAGCACACAACCACAGTGCTTGCTCTTGGAGTCCTAGTGGTAAAACGGTTAATATGCTTGTTTGCTAACTGAAAGATGGGTGGTCTGAACCCACCAGCTGGAGAGGTGTGGCCGCCTGCTTCTGTAGATTGATAATCTTGGATCCTTTCCGGGGAATTCTACCATGTCCTACAGGGCCACTGTGAGCTGAGACTGAGCTGACAGCAAAGGGTTTAGGTATGACTATTCTTGTTTTGTATTGAAAATTCTAATTTGGAAAAAACACTTTGATTTCCAAAGACTTATTATTAAGGCCACAACATTAATTTTATAATTTTTCTAGCTTAGTAATATACAGAAGCCAAAATAAATTCTCTTTTGTAAACTACACTTAAATTGTCTTTGTAAATAAGAAACTGGACAATTTAAGTAATAATTAAACAAAATCTAAAAATGTTCTATATAGTAGTTTATAAATTTGTGAGAGAAAACATTTTGTAAGGCAATTTTAGTTACAGATAAAAAGTAATTATATTATTATATTACTTATCTCCCTGATTAAGAATTTAAGGATAGCAAAAAAACATATATGTAGGCTTAGACAGTACTCTGAATGTACTTAGGAATAAAGTCAGAAGCCACCATTTCCTAAGTTTGCAAATTGGAAGCTTACAGAAAAACCGTCAGGCAATGCGATATCTTGGTAGGGAGGCAGAAAGACAGATGACAACAATCTAAAAGGAGGCTCCTTAACAAAATGTGGAATCGTAAAAATGTCTTGCAAATATATGTGAGAATACAGGCTAGCCAGGAAAGAATCTGGATTTTACTCATGGTTTATAAAATATTTGTGAAATTCTACAGAGACGAATTCATTCCTCTACTAATACCAGATTCGTCTATCTATCTACCACAAAATCTTTTTGTGGAATAGTAACTCTTTCCATTATACTTTTATTAAAATAAAGCCTTAAAACAACAACCTCAACTTAAGCTGTAGAATGAAGTTTCTGAATTTAGAATATGAATTTTGTTGTTAAGAGCTGTTGAGTTAGTTCCGACTCATAATGACCCTGTACAGGGTTTCCAAGGAGCGGCTGGTGGGTTTGGACTGCCGACCTTGTGGTTAAAAGTGACTTTGCAGTCCAGTGCATTATCCTATGGAGCTACACCAGGACTATGAATACTACATAGTACATTCATTCTCAAGTCTTACGTTAGATCATTGTGCCATTATATTAAGTGGTATCTTTGTGATCTAAAAGACCTAAATTTTCTCATTTCTAAAGTAGCAGATCCCCCCAAAATAGCTCACTCATGGCACCTGAGATTAACATTTTATTACTGTGAAAATATTTTAACTTCAATAATTAATGATGACAAACCCTCTAAATGACTCCACTCTTATCTCCCTGAGTAGGTGATGACAAGGACACTGGGTCACTAAACTGACCGACAGAAGCACTGACAGGACTGATCAGCTAAATAAAGATGGCCAATCTGTTATATAAAGCAAGTGAGTGGAACAAAGAAAGAAACGGAAAAGAACAGAATGACATTGAAAACACTGAACACACACACACACATTCTCTCTATATAACCTTTCTGCGAATTCACATTTTAAAAACTGTATGTCCCACAGGAGACCTGGCGGTGCTATAGGATAAGCACTTGACTGCTAATCCAGTAGCACCATAGTGGAAAGATGAGGCTTTCTGCTCCCATAAAGATTTACAGCCTCGGGAACCCTGTGTAGGATTGCTTACGAGTCAAAACCGACTCAATGGCAGTGATGGGTATGTTTCATAAGTTAATCTGTACAACACCTGGTTTGTTTTTTTTTTCATAAGGAGGTATACTTTTTAAAGGTAAACTTATTTGGCAAATTCTGAGATCAGAAAAAACTTTGTTTTAGACAGAATTATCTGTTAATAAATTGTAGTGTTTTTTGTTTTCTCTTTTTCACTGTGGTATTCAGAATAACCCTTTATACAGAACCAATACACATGTAAAATTTTACTTACTGTAAATATTCTTTAATATCAAGCTGGCAAGTAACTGCACAGAAAACTTTTGAACTAATGCTTTCAGGCTGCAGTTATTTTTTGATCTTAAATTGCTCTAAGAATCTGGAAAAAGCTATCGACCCAATTGTTCCCATAAAAAGCAAAAATCCATTTTAGGGGACTCATGGATGCCCTGAAGCTCATTAATTCATTTATTTGACCTATTAGGAATCTCATGGATTCCAGATTAACCTTTGTATTCCAATAGCTGTTCAAACTTCAGAAACGTTTGCACATAGTAACTCAATCACTAATATAATATAGATCAGTTTTCCCCACTAAGGGCATTCTGGAAACAACAGTTTACAATTAGCTATTGATATTACTGTTATGGATGTTACCCCATTAGTGAAAGGAACATCACAAATAATTTAAAGATGAAAGCTAAAACACCCAATAATGTGACATATTTTCTTTTTAAAAATAAAAAGTTTAAATGATTATATTTTACATCTGATAAATTGTATACAGAAAAGACACATTTCTGAAGTGCTAAGTTAGAGTACAATTTTGTTATGTCCTGACCTCAAGCATTTGAAGTTTTTATAAAGCAAGGCTAACATTTTTCACTGGAATGAGTTAGTTATATAGAAGTCTCAGCAAACATTTTCAGATGTCAATTTATAGTCTCAATAAACATTTTCAGAAGTGTCTATACTGACTAAATTTGATCATAAACTTGTATATTGTTAACAATTTCTGAGCAATTATGATATTTTAACTTTTGGATGGTGGTGGGTGTGTGCTGTCAACTTGGTTCTAACTCACAGTGCCCATGTATACAGGGTTTCTGAGGTTATCAATCTTTTGGGGAGCAGAAAGCTTCATCCTCCTCCCTCTGTGAGCAGCCCAGCTCATACCCCTATGCCACCAGGACCCCTTGTCAGGTGTAAGTCAAAGGCATAATGATATAGTTTTAAATTTTACTAAATAATATTTAAGTCTAGGGGAAAAAAATGGATACATGAAATACATCTAAAATTATATATATATATATTATATATATTATATATATATATTTGGATTATATATACCAACTCTTTCCCAACAACCTATCAGATCTTCTTGTTTTTCTCTAATCTTGGGCAGAAATGTATTAAACTGCTGATAGACAAATAAAGGAGCTACAAAACCCTAATTAATAAGTTTCTTATGAAATTGTCCTTATTACTTTTAAAATGCCTTTACATTTACAAATCTCTGCTTATTCTAATAATGGCTTATCCTCACATGAAAGTAGGCAAGTTTTCCTTGAATGTCTAATGATAGGTTAGTGAGTCTCTTACCAGCTTGCTTAGAACACAGACACTTTTCTGAACCGTTTCTCTGGTGACATCTGCTTGCCTTACTTTCAATGCCTATTATAAATAAACAATCATCATCAGAGAAGATTTCACAGAAATACTCAATGATTCATATTTTTTCAATATAAATGTAGCAATTAAGTAGAAGACATTTCTTACATTTAGTTAATTAAATGAAAAGGTATTTCTTTATTGAGCATTTCAGACAACAGAATGAATAAATATGTATCTATCTGAGCCAGACTTGGTGCTGACAATGGGACTGTGACAGTGAAGATATAATCCTTACTCTCAAGGTAGTTAGAGTCTGAGGGAAAACACTTTAGGATTCAGTCAGCACATCCACAACACAATTGACTGCTGTTGGTCCTGGTTTTAAAATCAGCAGCCCTTTCACAGAACACTGGCTCTCATGAGAAGAGGCTAGTTTAAGCAATGTCAAAAACCAGATGGCTGATTTCTCCAGAAGTGGAAGACGTGTCAGCAGTTTTGTTAAATGTTTAGGAGTAATTCACAGTAGTGTTCCAATATAAAATAGCAGTATTTAAAAAAATTTCATCTTGTCATCAGTTTTTACATTAATGACATAATTCTTTGGGGGGACAAAGATTGTTCTAAGTCTGATGAAAAATGGGTATACATACTTTCACAGAGTTAAACTTGGGGAAGGGACCTAGACTCCTTGAAGTCCACCCATGGGTCACAGTCAAGAACTCACCTAGGTATTATTGCTACTTATCCAAACTCACCTCTATATTATTGCTACTTATCCAAAACTTAGAGCTGATGTTTCCCTTGAATCTGTCTGAAGGACATGGCCTCAGTGCCCTAACTGACTGATAACTGATAAATACATGGTCATTACAATAAAATGAGACTATAGCCCTTCCTTCCATTATTTTCTACCTCTCTAATTTGACTGGATCATTCCAAAAAGCCACACTTTTATTCAAAAGGAACTAAATCTTTCTAGTCGGCTGTAGGTCCCTCAGACTTATCTGCTGGCTCTCTGATGAGGCTAGAAAAATTAGGAGAAATAAACTTATTAGTACCAACATATGACCTATGAAGGAAGTCAGAGGTTTATGGGAAAATGGAATGAAAAAATAATGGAATTTCCCATAGAACTTTTTAAAGAACCCTCTTAATGTGGCTGAGATAATAAGTAGTAAAAGGAATAGAGTTCTAAGAAAGGGTAACAGTTCAATCCATCCCTACCTAGAGAAAGTGACGGCAGAGCTGGAGGCAGAGACGAAGATGTGGAGAGATGGAGCGGCTGGCGACTCTAGACCCAAAGAGGGACAGGGGCTCTGTGCTGACGACTGGGGGTCAGGCTTGTAGGGTATACCCTTTGGTTGGTTGATGATGAAAAGAGGGGATTGTAACCATGGCAATGAAATGATATACGATAGGATGATGTAAAGCTAATGTTCTCCCATGTAAACAATCACATAATTCACAATAAAAATTAAAAAAAAAAATTATACAAGAAAGCAAAGATCATTAAAAAAAATAGGAAAAAAGATAAAACCAAAATGGATATCAGAAGAGACTATGAAACTTGGTCTTGAATGTAGAGAAGCTAAAGTGAATGGAAGAAATGAGGAAGTAAAAGAGTTGAACAGAAATTCTCAAAGGGCAGCTTGAGAAGACAAAATATTATGAAGACAGTTGCAAAGACCTGAAGTTAAAAAACGTAAAACGGGAAGAACCTGCTCAGTATTTCTCAAGCTGAACAAATTGAGGAAAAAATTCAAACCTTCAGTTGTAATAATGAAGGATTCTATGGGCAACATATTGAATGATGCAGAATGCATCAAAAGAAGATGGAAGGAATACACAGTCATTGTACCAAAAAGCAATAGTCTGTGTTCAAACATTTCAAGAGGTAGCACATGATTAGCTCAAGAATCATTGAAATTGAAGGAAGAAGTCCAAGCTACACTGAAGACACTGGTGAGACATAATACTCTAGGAATTAATGGAATACAAATTGATTTCTTTCAATAAACTGATGCAGCAATAATATATGCCAAGAAATTTGAAAGACAACTACTTAGTCAACTGATTGGAAGAGATCTATATTTGTGCCCATTCCAAAGAGAAGTGACCCAATGGAATGTGGAAATCATCAAACAATATCATTAATATCATATGCAAGTAAAATTTTGCTGAAGAAAATTTAAAAAACCATTTTAACAGTATAGAGACAGGGAACTGCCAGATAGTCAAGCTGGGTACAGAAGATGTAGAACTAAGGATATCATTGCTGACATCAGAAAGATCTTGGCTGAAAGTATGTAATACAAGAAAGATGTTTACTTGTGCTTTATTGACTGTTTAAAATGTTTACAAATGCTTTTTGTGATGCGGATCATGACAAACTATGGATAACATTATGAAGAATGGGTTTTCAGAACACTTAATTGTGCTCATGAGGAATCTACATAGATCAAGAAGCAGTTGTTAAAAAAGAATAAGAGGACACTGAATAGTTTAAAAATCAGTAAAGGTGTGCACCAGGGTTGTATCTTTTCACCATACTTATTCAATTTGTATGCTGAGTGAATAGAGAACTAGACTATGTGAAGAAGATGTGGCATTAGGATTGGAGGAAGACTCATTAATAAACTGCAATATGCAGATAATAAAACTTTGCTTGCTGGAAGTGAAGATGACTTACAATACTTACTGATGAATATCAAAGACTACAGTCTTCAATATGGATTGCATTTCAATGTAAAGACAACAAAAATCCTTACAAGTGATTAAATAACATCATGATAAATGGAGAAAGGAAGCATGTTGGCTCTGTAGGCTAAGCATAGGACTGTGAACCACAGGTTGATGGTTCTTGTCCACCAGGTATTCTGTAGGAAAAAGATGAGACTTTCTGCTTCAGGAAAGACTTAAGGCTTTGAAACCCTATACAGGGTAGCTATGAGTCAGAATCGACTTCATGGTGCTTAACAACAATACATGGAGAAAAGATTGAGTTGTCAAATACTTCATTTTGCTTGGATCCACAATCAACACTCATGGTAGCAGCAGTCAAGAAACCAAACAACGTATTGCATTAGGCAACTCTGCTGAAAAAGACCTCTTTAAAGTATTAAAAGAGCAAATATACCAGTTTAAGAACTAAGGTGTGCCTGACTCAAGTCATGGTATTTTCAATTGCCTCATATGCATGTGAAAGTTGGACAACGAATAAGGAACACTGTAGAAAATCAATGCTTTTCAATTATGGTGCTGGAGAAGATTACAAGTATCATGGACTGCCAAAAGAACAAACCAATCTGTGCTAGAAGAAGTACAACCAGAATGCTCCTTAGAAGCCAGGATGGCCAGACTTCATCTTTCATACTTTGAACATTTTATCAGAGGGGACCAGTCCCTGGAGAAGGACATCATACTTGGTAAAGTAGAGGGTCAGCAAAACAGAGGGAGACCCCCAGTGAGATGGACTGGCTCAGTGGCAGCAGTAGTGGGCTCACATTTAACATTTGCCAGGATGGCATAGGACCATATAGGATGGCACAGGACCATTTGTTCTGTTGTGCACAGAGTTGCTATGAGTCAGAACTGACTCGATAGTACCTAATAATAACAACCAATATCAACTTATAAAAACTTTCATGTGGACAATTTGGTAATTTTGGAAAAACAGCTACAAATTATTTATAAAACTTAAAACATTATCAAACATACCACATGAAAAATAAGACTGTTTCCCCAAGTTAACATTTTAAGCAGCCAACACCTAAGAGATGATTGTTTTTATTTTTAATTCATCATAATTCTCATACCTTGGCTTCAATCTGTCGATAGCAAGAGATACCATATACTGTGGCTCCATTTCCATTTCTGGGTGGCAAGTGAAAATACACAGTATCTAAGAGACACATTGAAAAATGTAAGTATTCCCTTATTAATAAATAATGAAATCAGAAGTTATAATAATTTAGTAATCAAGACAAAAATGATGGTGCAACAAGAAACCCATGTTGTATTAATTTCCAGCACAACTACTGGCTTCTTAGAATTCCTCATTGTCTTACAATGAACACTTCCAACAAAAAAAGCCCATGAGAGGCTGACTTATAACAGGATAAACTGTGGCTCTGTGGGATAAGCACTGGACTGCTAACCACAAGGTTGGTGGTTTAAATCCAGCAGTTGCTCCTGGAAATCCTACACAGGGCTGCTGGGAGTCAGAATTGACTTGGCAGCACGTAACAAACTGACACTAAAATCACTTATCTCAGAAAGTACCTTAGGGGATTGTTTCAGATTTCTAAAAATGTACAATCATAAAAACCAAAGGCAATATTAAGAATCTAAAATGATTCCACAAGAAATTCTTGGGAAATAAGAACATAAGCTGGATATTAGATGACTTTATGGAACTGCTGGTTAATCTCTTAGCTGTGATAATGGCATTTGAAGTTTCCCTGGGGAGTAACCTTACTTCTAGGAAATGCATGCTTAAGTAGTAAGAGTTGAAGTGTTTGCAAATGATTTTCAATAGTTCAGGAAAAAAACTATACATACAGCTATAGGGAATCCTGGTATGGTGGTGGGGGTTAATGTGCTGGACCACCAGGTTGGTTTGAACTGCAAGGGCAGCGGTTCAAGCTTACCAGCTGCTCTTTGGAAATCATATACAGGGTCACTATGAGTCGGAACCGACTCAACGGTGCTTAACAACAACAACAACAACAAACAATTACTCCACTGTCTCTTTACGTACCTTCTTGGTAGTTGTGGGCACCATCTGGTAAGGCAAGGAAGGGTAAATACTTCCATTCTTCCGGTAAAGTGTGGCTGTCGTGTCCATCTCCTGGAATCAGGGGTGGGTAAGAGAATTCAACCTAAAATGGTAAGAAATGTTAGCCAACAGGTTGTTCACCAAAGGGAATACTAAGAATGATTTTAATCCCTAAATGACTGAAACAAGGGTAAATTATACTGGCTGAAGCCATTAAACATTATCAGCAAACCTAAGGCACAGAAGATAAAAAGGAAAATGGAGCAAATGAGGGCAGGATTTGAAGTCTTTCAACCTTTCTGATTTTTTTTTTTTTCTCTTTCTTTTAAAGCTTTTATTGTGAATTGTGTGACAGTTTACATGGCAAAACATCTGTTTTGCACTCAACCAATCTTATTTTGTTTTATTGCTTTAAACAACCAAAGGGCACATTCTGGAAGCCAGCCTCCTGGCCGCCAGCACACAGCCTTTCTCTGTCCATGAATCTAGAGCCCTTAGCTGTTCTCTCTCTGCCATCACCTCTGCCTCCATCTCTGCTGTCGCTGTTTCTCTAGTTAGGATCCCATATTCTGCTCATGCTCTTCTCTCTTGATGGTCCTAGGGTCCTCTGGCCCCAAAATGTATGATTAACTACTCTCCGCTTTTTGTTACACATCTTCTGCCTTCACAGTTGTGACAATCACAATTAGTTATGATAACAATTACTATTAAATCAAAAGAATACTATTCTTCATCTCCTGTCACCAGACCCATCTAGACAAAATGAAAACTATTCAGTGGGGACTCTACCTTCCTTGACACATTCTGAAACTAAACTCCCTCCTGAAAACTTTGTACCTTTGTGGTGGTGTTGTTAAGTGCCATTGAGTTGGTTCTGACCCATAGTGGCCCTGTATAGGGTTTCTGAGGACTGGCTGGTGAGTTTGAACTGCTGATCTTGTAATTCAAACTGACCTTATGGTCCAGTGTTTATCCTACAGTGCCACACCAGGACTCGTACCTTTAGGTAGCAATGTGTAAGGTGCCTGTCCCTATCAACCCTATGTACTGAGGGGATAGGCTTGATCCTTGATGTGAAGACTCCTTCCCTGTTGGTTGGTATTTTGAGCAACTAAATCCATAAGCAAAGGTCAAGTTCATTAAATTATAGCAATTTACATTTGCTTCCTGTATCTTATATTTTTATCTTCTGCTAGTCGAGTTCTGATCATCAAGCCATCCAAGCTAGGTCAAATGGGTACAATCCCACCTTTCTGATTTAAGTGTTGTTAAACTTTAGTGTGCACAAGATGAGAGAAGGTAGGGGTCTTGGTGGTGATGGTGGTGGTGTCTGGATTGCAGATTTAGATTTGGGATGAAAATGGAAGCCAAGGAGTCCCTGAGGAAAATCAACATACTATTGAGTGGACAGGAGAGATCCAACAGAGGGGCCTAACCTAGTTCAACATCTAGGTTTGCTCCCCATCAACTGACTCCCTTGTTACCAATACTTGCAGCTTTGAGCTTAGGGTTTGGAAGGACTTCTGTTAGGGGGCTGGGAAAGGATTAACCAAAACTTCAATTGATTTTGAGTATGAGAACTGACCAACGAACTCTCAATGAAGTATGTACTCCCAGTTTTTAGCAAGCCTGCATTTATTAGGTTTTTCTGTCTCTATTTCATTTTGTTATTTTAATCAGACTTTTGGAGAGGAAAACAGAATAGATGGGGTTTAGGTTACTATCTTGACTCATAAGCTCCAGGTGGTTTATGCTTTGTTGTTCTTCCCAAGTGTCTGTATTTGGAAAAAAGAATCTGCATTTCCATTATTAATATACACTGTAAAGTTGGAGTAATGTAAGACTAAGAATCACGCTTAGATCCCATCTGTAATATAGAAAAGGAGCCCGCTGGCAGTTCAAACCTACCAGCAGCTCCGAGGGAAAAAGATGAGGCTCTTCCTGTGAAGATTTCCAGTTTCAGAAGAAGCCCTAGGTGGGGTTGCTATGAGTCGGAGTCAACTCCATGGTAGTGGGTTTGTTGTGTGTGTGTGGTAATGTAGAAAGATGGAATGATGGCTCATCTGTTCACATTTCAATGGAGTCAAGGGAGTCCTGGTGTGGCACTATAGGATAAGCACTGGACTACAAACTGCAATGTCAGCAGTTCAAACCCACCAGCCACTCAGGTCACTATGAGTCAGAACCCACTCGACGGCACTTAACAACCACCACAAGCTGCCCCCTGAGACACAGGGTCCTGATTGGGGAAGGGAGAAGAATTACTGACAGGGATTTGATGTTGCCTATACAGGCAGTGCAATGGATTATGTGTTAAGCTGCTAACCACAAGGTTGGTGGTTCAAACCTACCAGCCTCTCCACAGGAAAAAGATAAGGCTATCTACTCCCATAAAGATTTAGTCTCAGAAACCCTATGGAGCAGTTCTATACAGTCCGATACGGTCGCTATGTGTCAGAACCAACCCAACAGCAGTAGGCTTTGTGCGTTGACGCTGGCAGAGCTACACTGCTGAGTTCGAAGGCAGAGGAGGGAGCTTAGTGACAATAAATGCAGATGACCTCTAGGTGGAAAAGGCATGAAAATGAATTTTCTCCTTGCGTATCCAGAAGGAATGTAGCCCTGCTCCAGAGCTTGAATATGTACTGCTTAATTTAAAAAGCAAGAAGAGTATTAGTAAGCATAGTACAATCCGGAATTCTACTTATACCGGAATTCTGCTTATGTAAAAATGGATCATTAATGCTTAATAATCTATGTGGTGTGGCGCTGTAGGATCAGCACTGCACTGTGAACTGCAAAGTCAGTAGTTCAAACCCACTAGCTGCTGCTTGGAAACCCTATACAGGGTTGCTATGAGTCAGAACTGATTCAATGGCATTTAATAGTAGCAGCATGCTTGTAAATGGATTTCAAAAACACACTGGAAAAGATACAAGGGGGCTTCAAAGAACTCATGGGAAAATTCCATTATTTTTAATTCCATCTTTCCACAAATTTTTTGATGCCCCTTGTACAAACTATACTGTTAACAGTAGATTTCTGGAGAAGAAGAGTAAGTCTCAAGATTAGTGATTGAGGGAATAATCCTGGTAAGCTTTCTTACCCTACATTTTTTGTTTTGGAAATCTCAAATTTACAGAGAAGTTCAAAGAACAAGAACATCCTTATGTTGTTGTTGTTATGTGCCGTGGAGTCGGTTCCAACTCATAGCGACCCTGTACAGGGTTTCCGAGGCTGTAAATCTTTACGGGAGCAGAAAGCCTCATCTTCCTTCCATGGAACAGCTGGTAGTTTCAAACTGCTGACCTTGTGGTTCACAGCCCGATTTGTAACCACTACGCTACCAGAGTTCCTTCGAACATCCTTATAACCTTCATTTATATTTATCAATTACAACTTTTTGCCACATTTGCTTTTATCCTGTTATTCGTGTACATACCCATTCTTCTGGAACCATCTGATAGCAAGTAATTAAGCTGGTATTTACTTTTAAATGCATACGTATTTATTTTGGAATAGTTTTTTTTAAAAAAGGTACAAAACAATTACAAGTAATTCCTAACTTCTCCCTATCCTTTTGTAGGCAAAGGGATATGTAGAAATATATCTTCTTTGATAAAGATATAGTTAGTGAATTACCAAATAAAATGGTTACACTTTAAGGATCTGGTATGCCTTGAAACATCATTAGTTGCAGATCAAGACCTCATATCATCAGATATGCCATCAGAAATTATAAGCACAAGCATGGATTCAATGCAGTTTGATTAGGCAAGTAAGACTGCGCTGTTTTCTTTCCAGTAGCATTAGTTTTTCTAAGCTACTTTATGTAAAGCTTGATAGCTTCAAATGCATTTACTAACTGTGAGTTCGTAATTAAAAGTACAAAATTGTCATGATGCATCTTAAATGTACTTGATTAACCAGGATCGTTAAGAATCGGGTGTTAATCTCACGGTCAGCAGTTCGAAACTACCAGCTGTTACGCTGGAGAAAGATGAGGCTTTCTGCTCCTGTAAAGATTTACAGCCTCGGAAACCCTGTAGAGGGTAGCTGTGAGTGGGAACCACCTTCACGGTACATAACAACAGCACACTTCACGGTACATAACAATAGCACAATCTTTATGCTGAGGAAATCTCCAGCTCCTGTATCCCCTCTTAAAATCCACATGAAAGAAACATGAGCACAAGAGAGAGGATAAGTACATGGGAAAAAGCCCTAATTTCACACATTTAAATAAAACCCAACAATTAAAAAACAAAGAAAAATAACCTTTAAATAAAATATCTTTTGTTTTATCTGTAATAGCCAAAAACTGGAAATAAGCTACATGCCCTTTAATAGCAGAATGGGTAAATAAGACATGGTAAATTATACAGCCTACTGAAATAAACAACAGATCTCAGACATAACACTGAATGAAAAGAAGTCAGGCACAAGAGAGACAACATTAGTCTGTGGTGACACAGGGGACCAATGGTGGTTACCTCTGGTGGGTACTGACTGGAACAGAGGTGTATGTGGTGACGGAACTGTTCTATATTTGCACGGATACATAAAGAGGAAGACTCCCAACTGGGATGGACTATCACAGTGGCTGTAACAACAAATCTGAGGGTGGTGCAGGACAGAACAGTGCCTCATTCTGTTGTGCATAGCATCACTATGAGTCGCAGGCAACTCTACTGTACTTAACAACAACATACAATACGTAAAACTTACTTACACCCTAAGATTTCTGTATTTCATTGTTCTTAAGTTATCCTCAATTTTAGAAAATTAATGTTCTTAAAAAAAAATCAGTATGAAGACGAAGTGTTTAAATGCATGGGCCTTTGGAAATGGACAGGCATTAAGTTCTAAACCCAGATTGCTACTTAACCAACCGTGTGACCTTCAGCAAGTCACCGGTCATTTCTAAACCTCAATTTCCTGATCTATAAAACTGTACTAATATTACACTGAGGTTTGTGAAGCAGAACAAGTGAGTTAATAAGCACATCGAATATTATGTGCAGCCTATAGCAAACATTCAATAAATGGTAGCTATTAATAATAATATTTTCATATAACAACAGTGACAAATTGCAGGGTGAC